ATACAGCAAGTCCAGGTGCCTTGTTTTATTTTTTACACATGTACTATATGAATGAGAACCTTCACAGACAGGAGAGGGAAGGGCAGGGCTGGGAGCCAATCAGTGCTGTAGTTCTCATGTGCTAACAAGGAGCATGCTGATAGGGGAGTCCAGAATGGCAGAGAGATGAACTCATCATTCTGCTGCTTCTCCTCTCACTGTCCAATCACAGGCTGGGGGAGGGACCAGACCTGTAAGTGTTATTCAACTGCAGCATTTGCTCACCCCTGGTGGGTACAGTGATGTGTGGAACGCGTCATGTTGCTGCCATAGGCTGTAGCTGTGTTTAGTGTCTTTAATACATCATTACTGAGCGTCTGCTGAGTGCGGCCCGGGGATTATTTTATACAATAACAGTTCCTGTGTTTTATTCCTGACAGGTTCTCTTAAAGGCACCGCGCCAGTTCCTCCCATCTACCTACAGTCAGCCCGGACACGGATGGACCCTGAATGCTGGAACACTCACGGAATGCGAGGTATGAAGCTGAAATTACATGTCAGTGATTGTCACGTACGTGACCCGGATAGGTAGGTGACACCGATCTGTGTCATGTGACGGGACTTCACGGAACTGCCGTTCACATGGTGGAGGTAAAGCGCGACTCCAACCAAAAATCCATTTTATAGTTTTTGATTGAGTGTGGAAAGGTTAGTTTAAGTAATTCCTGTGACACCCGGCGAGATTTTCCCTCAGTTCCTGTGTGGTCACCAAGACAGGCCCATCCCACCTGTGTGTGCAGTCCAATCAGCTCTCATTTCAAAGTTCAGTGTGACCTGTTAAACTGGCTACATAGTGAGTGCTAAGCGGGAGGGTCTGCCTACTAAAGCTACAGGGGCGTAACAATAGCCCATGCTGGTGCTATGGGGCCTGAGGGTGGAAGGGGGCCCCATTAAGGGTTTCAGAAGTTGCTGTTGTCCCTATGAAATTTCCAATTTGCGGTGGGGGGAGGGAAGGGGGCAAAGTTTGCTATGGGGCACCATTAACTGTAGTTGCAACCATGTAAAGCTGCATGATGTACTAAGAAGCAATGCACGTATCTCATCAATTATAAACTAAGGCTATGGCGGGGGATGTGGCCAATTGTCCTCAAGCTCTGT